GTAACTGGCTAAACCACAGTCGAGTTGGCCCCTTCAATGTCACGGGGAAAGCTCGACACGTGATCTCGTCAGGGAATGCATGGAGGATCATGAGGGTTCTGTAGGTCTCCAGATGGTCGATTGGGTCCGTCGTGCCGTCAAAAGAGTCGATGGTGGGCATTTTGAACTTGGGGGGTAGAGGTTTGTCTCGGATAGAGGCAACAAATGGTGAGTTTGCTGTGGTAGAGGGTTTATGCTGGATGTTCTGCATGACCCCTTGGAGTTGGAGCTTTATGGCTTGGAGTTCTGCATCCCAGAGAGGGATGTTATCACCACTGGAAGGGAGCAGGGGTTGGATGCTATTGGCTTCCCTCTCAGGGGTTGGTGCCAAGACCGATGGATGCAGGGGTCGAGGTGGTGGATTTATATGTGGAGGAAGAGGTTACAGGCCTTCCAAGTTGGGTGGATAGGGTTGCGGGATAGTATGGCTCGGAGTTCGTTCTTGGTTGGGAGGAATATCTGGAGGTGGTGGAGAAGGCATGAGAATGTCCCTTTAGAGTAGAGCATTTATTAGGGCTTGGTTTTGCTCAGCCATGTAGTTGATGCTGTTGGTAAGCTCGATGAAATACTGTGGTGGGTTGTTTGGATTGGGGGGGTCGACTTGATGGTCGGCGGCATTTTGATGAGAAGCCATGGATCTAGTCATGACCATACACGTTGATGGGTAGCAGGAACAGGTTATTGGAACAGGGTCCCCGGCGACAATGAGCACAACTGGCGCCCGGAGCAAAGCGATTTCCCACAGACGGCGCCAACTAATGTTACAGTTATGATACAACGGGTTCCTGGTAGAACGGGTCGGACTGATCCACACTTCTCGAGCCAATATCCGAGTGGTCAAGCCCACCTGAGAACCTGTACAAGAGTTCAACGGGGAACGGGGTGTCCCCCAGCGAACCCTCCGACGAGCAAGTTAGAGAGAGGGAGAAGTGGAATGTAAAGATATGAATTAGAGATAGAAAGCTTAACCTTCTTCTTGTCTTCAACGTCTGCTTATAGCCTTTGGTCATCATTTCGTTGTCCCTTCCGACCTGTCACCTCAGCCAAAAGTCTATGCTGTAGCTTACCTTGTTTACGGTGAGGGCGTGCTGTTCCGACGGAGAGATATTGTCGTAATAAATGCTGTGAGGGGCTGCATTAATGGCGATGTGCAGTGCAATAACTTTGCAGATCTTTGTTTGCTGATGTGGCTTGCCCTTTGCCTGCCGCGTGCCTGGGTATTATTGGTCCTTCGTGTCATGTTGGTTTCTAGCTGTTCTGGACCTCATCAATTGGGTTGTGTATTGGGCTCTAAGTGATGGGCTTGGATTGTTCGTAGTGGGCTATGGCCTTTATGGGCCTAACCACGTCAACCCATAAAAGACAAAATAGGCTATTTTAGTCACAATAAACAAAACATCACATCTAACTCATAATCATTACACTATTCTCTCACAAAAAAAGTTAGAAAAGTCAAAAAGCTCTTCTCAAACCAAGCTTTTTAGCCCAGGCTAAAATAATCAAAAAAGTCAAAAAGCCAACCCACTTCCCAAACCAACCCTTACTAGTTTGTTGTTTGGTTTTTGGAGTTTTCAAAAATATTTTTACAAATTTTAATTAATTTTTTTAAAATTTACTTAATTTACATACATTTAAAAAATCTAAGAATTAAAAAAAAGTAAAATAAATTGATGTTTTTTGAGATTTGTTAGAAATACAAAACTTCTATAATTTTAATATAATTATATTAATTTTTTTAATAAGATTAAATAAATTAAAATTAATCTAAAAATAAATAATATGAAGTATATATTTTAGTATAAAAGAGATAATAAGATTATTTTTTCATTCATATAATTAATAAAATAAATGTTAAATGTTACGTAAATTAAAATTTAAAGAAGACTCAATATAATTATGTTAAAATTATGAAACTTCATATATATTATATAGAAGTTTATTTTGAGAATAGATTTTAAATAATAAAAAAAAAAAACGCAAACGCTAAGATAAAGAATAATGCGTAACTCGAATTTAATCATGTCTCGAATGGTTCAAATTTTATTTTACGGGTCGTTTCGTCGGTCATTTGACCGATCGTCCAGCAAAAAGGCTGACAATCACGATTGACAAGGTGATAACCGTGATAGACAAGTGTTTCACCCAATCGTTCGGATGATCGTCCGGTAAATACAAATTCGTATCATTCGAGACACCTCAATTCGAGACATCAAAGATTTTGAAAGATAAATTTAAGAGTTAAAATAAAAAAATAATTATAAAAAATAAGAAATTTTTATTTCATTTTTTGTTTTGTCGTCTTCCTCAATTCACGCTGTGGTACGGTGTCCTTTCGCCCCGCTCCTCCACACAGGGCGTTCTCAAAACCCCCCAGCGGCATCATCCCGTAATTTCACCATTCTTCTGTGTCCATTTCCACACGCATCTTTCTCTCATTTCTCAAGAGAGCTTCTATTTGCACGAGTGCTGTTATTAGCACCTATCAAAATTCTTTGGACCCCCCATTTCTTTGGGCCCCAACCTTAAACCCTAAATTTTAATAATATTTTTTTGGACACCCCACTTATTATCAAATCTACCCCTATTCCTAATATTTTTACAATCAAATGCACACCCACCTAATTTTCATACCTCTCCTTCCTGACTGTTGGCCTACCCGTGTGTTCATCTTCGAAAGTGCTTGGGACATTCGAAATGCACACCGACCTAATCAAATGCACACAGATTGAATCCATTGTGCTGTTTGATTCCATTCCGAAAGTGCTTGGGACATTTGAAAGTGCTACTTGATTCCATTTTGAAAGTGTGCTTTGGACTCCCCATTTCGGAAATTCAACACTTTACTGCTGTAAAATTTTCCATCTACCATCAAACGTAAGATTTACTGCTATAAAATTTTTCATCTACTATCAAAGGTATAATTTATATATCTTTTCTCTTCAATTAATCATCACTACACAAACAAAAAAACCATTTACCAACCAAAACCACAACCACACAAAACCCTAATATTATAATGTAATGACCAAGCGTGGATAAGGGCATTTTTGTAAAATTGAACAAGTGTGGATATATATATATATATATATCTTGAGAGCTCGTGTGGTTTGAACCTTAGGCTTGGTAACACTTTTTTGATTGGATTTATTGATTTTGGGAATTACAAATCACAATAGGAAATTGTAGATTCAATTGTAATCTATTTCCCTATCTCAAATATTTCATTTATTTATTAATTTCAGGGTTTAACAACAATCCATTTGTTTTGAAATAAGGACTCTACATATCTAATTTCTTTTTTAGATCAGACTTTCAGAGTGAGTTCAATTTTGTTCGGAAAATGAGAATGATGAAGAGGTGAGAAGAAGAGGAAAAAAGAGATATAAGAAAGTATAATAACTATAATTGTAGTTTCTTTGTTTGAAATTCCATATTGTTCTTAAATTTTCTACATATTAAATTCAAACTCTGACATCTATCATTACCTAAGAAAAGTATATTAACACTGTCATATAATTGTTAAATAGATATAGACATATCAAGTGCATGAAGACATGATATGAGTGTTCAAACATAATCATGCTTTCAAGGGGCTCCTACTGTCCCATTTTGAATAAATTTAACAATTTGCAAACCTCATACTGTCAACCCCACCAGGCTCTCTATCACTTAATATCACCTTGTGGCAACCATTAGGGGGTACTATAAGAATTCTACCTAACCACCACATTGGAGTGGGTAGTTCATTCTTCTTGTGTTCATTTGTTTTGTGTTGATCTAAGAGGTTTTGGTTCAAGTGACAAAACTCAGGATCTTTGTAATCGTGTTGTGTGTTCAGTTTTGTAGATCACATGGTTAACAGGGGATGATAGAATCTTTGAACGAAAAAGTGATGATTTGGAGGGATTATGGGAGAAGATTCATTACTTGGCTTCATTTGGGTTTCAATATCTCCTTCCTTTAAAGGAGATTCCCTTATTTTTTTTATTTCTAGAGATTGGAAGGTTATTTTTCTTTTGTTTTTTCTTTGCTAGGGACTTCTTGTTCTTATGGTTTCCTTTTTATTGTTATTTTTGCATTCCATGTTCTTACTTTTTTATTAATGAATTTTTTTTGTTATTGACAAAAAAAAATTATGATGGGACAATGATATCATGAACCCACCAAGTGGAGATCATATTATTTAAGAAAGTAGAGGGAAGGAGGAAACAGTGAACCAATCCCAAATAAAAAAACTCAACTAATCAATATCTAAGCCACGTTTGCAAAACCTATTACATATCATCCTAGGAAACCTCAGTAATAGTTGCCAAAAAAAAAAAAAAACTACAATAAATCCTAATAAAACCCAATAAATCAAAAATCAGAAAATAATGCTAAAGCAAATCCCTAAACTTCAAGTTTATAGTCACATTTTTTTTGTCCATGTACGTTTAGAGGGATGGTATTAAATTTTTTGTCAGTTAGAACTTGAGAACTTGTGTAGGGTTGAGATACCTTGTAGAATGGAGGTATTAATTTAAATTTGATTCTTATTTAAATTTGAATTGTGTGAGCTAATTTAAGTAAGCTAGTTAAGGATATTAATTAAGTCATCTATTTATTAAATTTGATTCTTATTTAAATTTGATTCTTACTTTGTTGTTAGTTATTATAGTGTACTTGATTCTTATTTAAATTTGAATTGTTTGAGCTAATTTAAGTAAGCTAGTTAAGGATATTAATTAAGTCATCTATCTATTCTATCTACATAACATACCTGCATTTAGCAGTAAAGCCCAGGCAAGCCCAAGCTATAAACCAAATAATGCATCTATCTATTTTTTTGTTTTTGATGGCCTTGCTCTTGGCATGCTTCTAATGCATTACATCTAATTGTACTTGGTGGACAGCTATGGTAGAAATTGCTCGAGATCGCCCAACAGCATCTAGGAGACGTAATGTTATACTTTCTTAAATAGTGGCTAAGAGACCTCGACGCACTCGTAAGACTAAGGATCAAGGTAGTGGAGTTAATGAACATGACATGAATGACATAGGTGTTGCTCTAGCAAAAATGGTTGAGGTTGAAAACGATGGGGGCAATCCATTTAATGTGAGTGACATGGGTGATGATTTGGGGGATGAACCAATAGATATGGGTGATGAACCAACAGACATGGGTGATGATCCAGGTGATGAACCAACAGACATGGGTGACTATGAAGACCAACCAACAGATACAACTGAAAAAGTTAATGAAGATCTTACTGGACCTTTTCCTGGAGGGCCATATGACCCTTCAATTTTGAAGAGTTTTCATTGTCACATAGCAGCCAAAATTTGGCATAATGATGTAAGTCATTGTCTTACATTAATTTAATGTTTCAAATTTTGTTTCAACTTTACTAATTCTTTTTTTTTCTTTTTTCTTTTTTCTTTTTTCTTGTTTTTATTCTATGTTGTAGGAACGTGGAATACTTAAATGCTTAAATCATGGTTTTAAAGTTGGAGAATGGTCATTCAACTTGGAAGATAATGAACAGTCCAAATTTCATGGTTTAATTATGGATTCGGGGTTGATGTCTTTAGTGAGTTGCTCATATAAATTAGTAAACAAAGTTGTAGCTTTGGTCTTTGTGGAAAGATGGCAGCCAGAGACAAACACGTTTCATCTACCATTTGGTGAGATGTCACCAACCTTAGATGATGTTAGTGTAATTCTAGGGATTCCAATGATTGGTAAATCAGTCTCTTGCAAGAAGTTATCAAATGTTGACGTTGCAAATCTGCTAGTTGAGGCTTTTGGAGTAACAATAGATGAGGCGAATGTAGCGTTGAAGGTAGCACGGGGCTAGTCTATCAAGGTAGAATGGTTGAGACAACGGTTTGGGTCAGTGTCTGATGCGGACAATGATAATACCATTGAGTGTGCAGCTAGGGCATATTTGTTATATTTGTTAGGTTGTACCTTATTTGCAGACAAGACAGGCACACGTGTTCCAGTAGTGTATTTGTCTTTTTTTATGGATTTGCGATCGGTTGCTTCTTATGCTTGGGGTGTAGCCGCATTGGCTTTTTTATACCGGCAATTGGGTACTGCCACAAGGTATGCCGTAAAACAGATGGCGAGATACATGACATTGCTGGAAGCTTGGATTTACGAGCATTTTGTTGGTGCTAGACCCCACCCCAATTTGGACTGTAAAGAAGATCAGCCTCGTGTCTTTCGTTGGATTTCTCGCACCCAATCTGGTTTGTCAACGTCTATTTTACAAAGGTTGCGAGAAGACCTCGACAGATTAGAGGCCCATGACGTAAGTGTCAATCTTATGTCAATGTATGTACATATTACTTTTTATTATTCAACCTAATTCATAACTTACATATAAAATTTTTACTATTGTAGGTTATTTGGGATCCATACCATGATAACCGTATTGAGCATCCTTTTTTTGATGTTGCTTACTATAATGGATGCTTAAAATGTATGCACATTGTTGAACCATACCATCCAGATAGGGTACTGAGACAGTTTGGTAGGGTGCAAATTATTCCCTCACCTCCGCTTGCTCCAGTTCGAGCATCTAGAGGATCCACTGCAAAACAGTACATCATTGCCTATAAATACTTGGATACGATTTGGGAGAGTTGGGAAAATCACTTGTTGTCTGAGATAGGTCATAGTGTTCTAGTCTTGCATCCATGGGATTGTGTGCCAGGTTACTTGGACTGGTTTACTTCCATTTCACACGTGCAAGTTCAAAACCCGACACATCATTCTAAGTATAATCCACGCACGGAGACATCAGCTGATTATCGTGAACTTCAATTCGTATGTCAATTTTTACCATTTTCATTTTCATTTTCATATATATTTTGTTTAAGGCAATTGTTAAGTTTTATTTTATTGTTTACAGCGCATTGACAGTGCCTTAAGCATTTCACGTTCAATGCTCGAAATTGGATACAATGAAGCAGCTCCCACCCGAGTATGTTACGCAATGCCATGAAGAAGATAACACAAGTCTTGGAGGGCCAACAGTCCACTGAAGAACACATAACTTGGTGTACACTCGTCGCAGGAAGCATGGAGCAACGTCTTAGACTTTAGTATTTGTTGGGTTCAAATGTTTTGAATGTGTATTTTGAAATCTTAGTCTCAAACATGTGTTAAACTTTTTGATGGTGTTAGACACAAGTATAACAAATGTCAGATAACACTTTACTATATGTTAGATTTTTTGATGGTGCTAGGCTTGTATATGACTTTACCATACCTTTTTGGGCACTCAATGAATTATTTTGATGGTTTAGATGGTTTGATGGTTTGAATTGGTTTGAATTGGTTTGATGGTTTGATGGTTTGAATTGGTTTGATGGTTTAGATGGTTTGATGGTTTGAATTGGTTGGATGGTTTGATAGTTTGTTTCTTTCAAATATTGGTAAGTTTATTGCTTTATGGTCATCACTGAATAAACAAAGATGGAAACTGTAACAAGCCCGCGGGGGACCTCGCTACAGCTCGGACTCGACTTGTAGTCACGGTTCTAAGTCTGAACCAAAGAGTCCAAATCCGGCAAATCGTTTTGAGAAAAACAGATTTTTGAAAGAAGTGCCAAACATGGACTGCTTTGCCAGATACAGAGTCGCTACCTAAATATTTTATTTTGGAAAATTTAGGAAACCCTGACTCGTTGCCAAAGGCCACGTGTCCGTCATCACCAAAGTTGCCTCGGCTCGAGAACTTGGGTACGATTGGGGAAGGTCACTTCGTGAGCACCCCCGCTCGCTCGATCAAAGATCGGCCTCTACTAACCATGATATCTATTTTTGAAAACATTGTGAGTTCTTATTCCGGTTATTAGCCTAGGTTACTATGTGATGCGCACAGCATACAAGTATAGACTGGATCGCTTGAATTGGAACAAAACATTTCATATTTGCTTTTTGAAAATGGTTTGCTACCCGCAGGTAGGCTTGAAACATTTGATGATTTATCCCAATTTAAGTAACCCAACCTTCACCCACAGGCATTCAGGCAGTTATATCACATAAGCATATAGCCTCATGGTAAGCATGCTATTCATGGCAGCACTCACACGCATGCAAGGATGCTAAAGCATAAAGCTTACCGAGTACTCC